AGAACAACTGGTATTAGAAGCTGCTAAAGCTAACGCTAATGACATCTGCAAGCAAGTTATCTTCAGTCTGCCCCTCTATCCGACTCCAATGCTGGACATCCTCATCGAGGCCTGCGCCAAGAAAGTCCCGATGGTGGGGATGTCCAGGGCCATTCCACCGCCACTACCGAAGAAGATACCAATGGCAGCCATGATGCAACCGGTTCCGCGGACACCGGCACGGATACTGCAATGTTACCACTGCGGGCAACCCGGGCACATGGCCAGGGATTGCCTAGCAGTGCACCCTAGTCATGGGAGCAATCAGGGGGCGAAAGCAAAAAATACCATAATAAAAAACAAAAACTAGGGGAGCGGTGCGAACCTGCCCTGCGCGAAGCGATAAATGGGGCAGGTCTCGTGGGGGAGGGGGGTTCTTTACACTGGACATGGCCAATTAACAGGACACGACATTTGACTACTATTAAAGTCATCCTCTTTCGGACCCAGCACTGGACGGTAGTTGCTGTGGATCCACTGGAGGGAGAGAAGACAAATACCGGACACGTCTGTAAGTACATTGCCATCGGGGACACTAAACACACACCCCCAGAGATTGAGCTCTCTCCTATCACCTTCCCGGGTGGTCCGGAAGATCTCATTCTCTTGGCGCGCTGCATTCACCCACCATATTTCCTCCCTAAGAGTCAAATTATTGCTCAATACATCCCTGTCCCTGAAGGAGTCCCAGTAGACGACCACGCACCAGACGTCTACTGGGCAGAGGTAGTGGGTGAAAATAAGCCCATCGTAAATTGCAGCATCAAGCAGGGTGCAGAATTAGTCAACTTGAAGGGTCTGCTTGATACGGGGGCAGATGTGATGATCATCCCCCAAAGGAGATGGCCGTCACATTGGGAATTGCAACCCGTGGCAGGAAAAGTACAGGGTATAGGGGGTACCCAATTGGCTCAAGTTTCTAAGAGCATAGTACAAATTATGGGGCTGGATGGGCAATTGGCGAACTTACGCCCATTCATTGCAGATTTTCAGGTTCCCTTGTCAGGGGGAGGGACCTCATGTCACAATGGGGGGTGAAGATTGAAATCCCAAAAACCCCTCGGGATTTTTAATAGCGGCCACTGTGGAGCGCCCCTTCCAGAAGCTAGATTGGACCACTAATGAAGCAATCTGGATTGATCAGTGGCCGCTCCGAAAAGACAAATTAAAGGCGCTCAACGAGCTCTTGGAGGAGCAACTAGTAAAGGGTAACGTAGTCGAAACCACGAGCCCTTGGAATTCCCCGGTCTTTTGATTTGAAAGCTGGGGAAGGACGAGTGGTGGCTCCTCCACGACCTTCGGGCTATTAATAGAATCATTGTTGACATGGGGCCCCTTCAACCAGGGATGCCTACCCCAACTATGCTCCCCCGAGATTGGAATTTGGCCATAATCGATATAAAAGATTGCTTTTTTCAAATTCCCCTACACCCTGATGATGCCCCACGGTTTGCCTTCTCGGTTCCAACCCTTAACCGAGAAGCCCCAATGAAGAGATTCCACTGGTGGGTGTTGCTGCAAGGCATGAAAAATTCACCCATGATCTGCCAGTGGTATGTCTCCTCGTTGCTGTCTCCCATGCGCAAAGAGATGGGGGAGGTCATCATCCATCATTACATGGATGATGTCTTAGTGTGTGCCCCCCATGACGATCTACTTACACAATCCCTTGACCGAGTGGTTAAAGTTTTAACATCTGCAGGATTTCAGCTCCAGGAGGACAAAGTTCGAAGGATGCCACCCTGGAAGTATCTGGGTCTGCGGATTGCTGAGAGGACTGTTGTGCCTCAAAAATTGGCAATTAATAGCAATCCGAAAACCTTGGCAGACCTCCACTCACTGTGTGGGACATTAAACTGGGTCAGGCCTTGGCTGGGCCTCACCACTGAAGACCTAGCCCCCCTCTTCACACTTTTGAAGGGGGAGAAGGAGCTGAGTTCTCCCAGGACCCTGACCCCAGAAGCAAAGAAAGCCCTGGAGAAAGTGCAAGATGCCCTTGTAAAGAGACAAGCGCATCGGTATGAACCAGCCCTGCCATTTGAGTTTATAGTGTTAGGGAGAATGCCACACCTCTGTGGGTTGATTTTTCAATGGGACCAAGACTCCAAGGATCCCCTCTTAATCATAGAGTGGGTTTTCTTGAGTCACCAAAGGTCCAAGAGTGTCACCAGGCCACAGGAACTGATGGCTCAACTTATCGGGAGAGCTCGAGCTCGGCTCCGGGAGATGGCCGGGTGTGATTTTGCATGCGTTCGGGTACCAGTTAGCTTGTCTCGGGACAAAGCGTCCCCAGATAAGCTAACAAAGGAAATGTTTGATCAGTTGCTTCGGGAGAATGAGACCCTCCAGATTGCTTTAGATAGTTATGAGGGACAAGTTTCTGTCCACGCCCCTGCCCATAAATTCTTTAATTCAAAATTCGAGGTAATTCCAAAAGAATTACGGAGCAGAAAGCCCCTCAAAGCCTTGACCATGTTCACCGACGCGACCTACGACCACTGGGATACACAGAGCCTAACTGCGTGGAGCTCTGGAGGTTCAGTGCTGAGGCAAATAGCACTCGCACTGTTCCCCACTCTTGGCGTTGCCAACGGCCAGGGAGTACAGGGCTAGCCGGAGCGTTGAGGGCCGTGAGGACCAGGCAGCGTCATCTGCTGATCTGGCGGCAGTGTGACTGCACTCTGAACATCTGCGAGTCTTCTGCCGGGTCAGTGGCCGCTTTCTCTGACCTGGATGAGAGGGACACCTTGGACTCCAGCTCTGGGAGCTGGGTGGAGTTTTCTCTCTCCCCCTGTGACGCGGAGCTGGGGGACAGCTGTGCCTTGAGTCCTGGGGTTGCTGGGTCCCCCTGCAGGTTGGGTTGTTGGGGGCACCATGGAGCAGGTAGGCATGACCCCACCTTGCCTGGTGCTCTGGCGGTGTGAGCCTGGGGTAGGGTCGCCTCTTCTGTGTGCATTCCCGGTGCAAAGCGACGGGGAGCTACCTGAACAGAAGGCTGCGCTGACCCTGGAGGTGACATTGGGGACGGTCCCTTGTCCCCTATGCAGCTGGGCTGTGCCGTACCCCACAGCGGGGAATGGGGCGAGCCCGGGCTCCGCACCAGCGGCTGTGCATGTGCATGGGGACCCTGGTCCAGCAGGGGGTGTGCCTGTGCCACTCCACGTGGAGCGGCCAGCGCTGGTTCTTGGGCTTTGCATCCCCAGGGAGACGCTGTTAGGGGTGATCCCAGACATCGGGCTGGCTTCTGCTGGCTCCATGGTGCGGGCTTCCCCTCCTGCAAGCCCAGGACTCCCCCTGGCAGTGGAGTGGGATGGTGCCGTGGCTCCTTGGGCCATGCCTCTCCCTGTGCCTCCGTCTCCCCCTGTGCTGGGGGCGGGCTGCACCGAGCTGACTCCACCCCGCCCCACCTCAGGTTCCTGGGCATGGTCCAAGCCCGCAGCTGGAGTGGGAATGTCCCTGCTGTCTCCTGTGGCCGAGACAGCCATGTAAATCAGGGTCCTGCATTGTTTACTCTTGGCTCAGGTGGTGATGCCAGGGTCGTGAAGCTGATGGCCCCCAAGGGCAAGGGGTCCCGGGCTGCTGGGGCTTCTTCAGCTGGCCTGTGGACTTTACCCCCCTGCCAGATGACTCTGCAGCTGCGGGACCAGGCACGTTTTTTGGGAGGTGGTGAGGGCTAAGGTTGACAAGGTGGCTGGCTGTGTTTCTGAGCACAGCTCCCTAGAAGGTGGGGATGGCTCCTCTGGCTCTGCTGGTGCTACAGCAGCTGTGGCACCAGGTACTGTTGTGTTGTCTTCCGGCGAGGTGCCTGGCCATGTCTCAGGGGACTCTGGGACAGGGCGTCGCAGGCGAGGCCATTCCTCCGGATGTTTATCAGGCGTTCCCTCTGCTTCAGGATGCGACTCAGAGGACTCATCAACCGTTATCCTGGAAAGCTGTGGCGAATCTCCGGGAGATGGCTAAGAAACATGGGTTAGGGTTGAATGAAGTTGTGCAGGCCCTTTGGGGCCTTGTGGGTGGTGTCCTAGTACCTTATGATATCCGGAGTATAGCCCATGTTCTTTTTCAACTGGTGGAATATGACATTTTTGAATCACAGTGGGCTCAGATGGCCTGTCAAGTGGTGCAGCAGAACATTGCCTTGGGGCAGCAGGATTGGTGATTGGTTCTGATGCTCTGCTGGGTAAGGACGGCTTTGGTGATGTTAGTAGGCAGGTTGGCCTTGACCCTATTATGCTTGAGCAATGCAAAGAGACAAGCATGGCAGCGTTAATGCTGACCATAGAACTGGCCACCCTGAAGGAGCCTTTTGTGATGGTTGTCCAGCGAGCTGACGAGTCTTTTCTGCGATTTGCAAATCAGCTGACTGCTTCTGTGGAGAGGCAGGTGCAGGATAGTGTGGCAAGACAGCTGGTGCTGAAAAGCCTTGCGAGGTCTAATTGTAATGCCGTGTGTCAGAGGATCATTGGGATGCTCCCTGGTGATCCCTTGCTGCCGCAGTTGGCACAGTCTTGTGTAGAGGCAAGTGTTGCTGCTGAGGAGCTACCTTCCATGGCTGTCGCTCTGCGGCCGACTTGGGTGAAGCTGCAGGGTGGGCAGCAGCAACAGGGGACTGCTCAGGCCAGCAAGAAGCAGAAAAAGAAGGCACAGGGGGCCTCAACTCCTTTGTTTTGCTGTGCCCAGTGTGGTAGTCCGAATCATGCGGCGAATGTGTACAAAGCAACGGTCCATGGCAATGGTCAGCCTCTGCAGGGCACAGGAAACAGGAAACCAAGTGCGACGGGGAGACGTGCTCAGACATAAGCCTCTTTCACACCCCAGAGCCGATGGAGGTTTGCTTGGCCAGCTGATAGCCAGCACCTTCGGCTCTGCAGGTCTCGATGTCTGCATGGCAGACACGTGTCTTAGACTCTTGCAGGATGTACAGGGTTCCTTTGGATGCTTTTGGTCTGGTAGGTGAGGGCATGAGTGCTCTTCTTGTGGGGAGATCTAGTGCCACTGCTCAGGGCATTGTTGTGCACCTGGGAGTCATTGATTTGGATTTCACGGGGTGGATTTTAACCATGGTTTCCACACTCACCTCCCCCGTCACTATCCCTGCGGGAACCAGGCTTGCTGAACTTGTGCCTTTTAAGTCTTGTGTTCACAAAGCTGAGAACTGGCTGCAGAGAGATGGTGGCTTCAGGTCCACTGGGCCACCTCAGGTTCACTGGACTGCTGTCCTGATGACCAAGGATCATCCTGAACGGGTCTGCACCCTGTCCATCCATGGTGAGATACCACCAGAGGTTAACCTCCATGGGCTTCTTGACACTGGTGTGGATGTCACAATTGTCAGGTTTGCTGACTGACCCCTGGAGTGGCCCTTGGAACCAGGGTGGACGTCTGTTGCAGGGTTGGCAGAATCAGAACAATGCTATGTGAGCTGGAGGCCCATGTTCGTCATGAACCCCAAGGGAGACATGACCATGGTTTGGACATATGTTACGAAGGGCTCACGGATAACTCTCTGGGGGAGAGATGTTCTGGCTGCATGAGAGTGCGTATCGGGACAGATTTTTGATGGGGGACACTGTGTTGGAGGGTGCAGACTGTCCTACGCCTCCTATACGTTGGCTGGTGGAAAAAGCCGTTTGGGAGAATCAGTAGCCCCTCCGTCATGATGAACTAGTCACCCACCATGATTTGGTGCAAGAAAAGTTGGACCAGGGTCATCTGGAGCCTTCTACCAGTCCCTGGAACACTCCTGTTTTCTGCATCAAGAAGAAGTCTGGGAAGTGGAGGTTGCTGCAAGACCTCTGGAAAGTTAATGCTATGATGGAAAGCATGAGGACATTGCAGGTTGGCATGCCATCCCCTGCCATGCTTCCTGATGGCTGGCCAATCCTCATCGTCAATCTGAAGGATTGTTTTTTACAATTCCTTTGCATCCCGATGACAGAGCAAAATTTGCCTTCTCAGTGCTGGCTGTCAACAATGCTGAGCCTGCACAAAGATATCAATGGAGGGTTTTGCCACAAGGCATGCGGAATTCGTCTGCCATTTGTCAATGGTATGTGGCTCAAGCCCTGTCTGGAGTTGGCTGGCAGTTTCCAGATGCTCATCTCTATCATTATATGGATGACATCTTGGTGGCTGCGCCCACCCAGGATGAGCTGCTGACCATACAGCCTCGGCTGATCAGTGCCCTGCATTGTCCTGGGCTGCAAGTGGCTCCAGAGAAGGTTCAGCGCCTACCTCCTTGGAAGTATTTGGGGGTCAAAATTTTGGAACGAACAGTCCAACATCAAGAGGTGCAATTGTGCATTCGGTGAGGGCACTGAATCATGTCCAAAAGTTGGTGGGTATTGTCACTTGGTTGCATCCCTGTTTGAGACTGACCATGGCACAACTGTCTCCCTTGTTTGATCTGTTGAAGGGAGACTCTGATTTGAAGTTGCCTTGGACACTGACCCCGGAGGCTCAACAGCTGCTGGAGGAGGTTCAGCGAGAAGTTTCTGCTTGTCAGGTTTATCACATTGATCCTTCCATTGATGTCGCTCTTTTCATTACCACTCCAGATTTGCATCCCACAGGTATTATTGGCCAATGGAATGATGAATGGTCTGATCCCTTGCATGTCCTAGAATGGGTCTTCGTGCCCTGTCAGCTGCAGAAGACAGCAACTGCGTTGTTTGAGTTGATAGCTCACTTGATTGTCAAATACTGGCAATGGTGTTTGCAGTTGATGGGTGCAGATCCCACAAAGATTGTGCTCCTGGTACCGCAGGAGGACTTTGACTGAAGCTTTGTGAACAGTATTTCCTTGCAAAATGCTCTGGAGAACTTTTCTGGGCAGATCACCTATCATCTTCCCAGACATCAGCTGCTGCAGCTGGTGAAATTCACTGAAATTTGTTTGCAGCCTAGAAATAGTAGGAACCTGTGCAAGGACCCACCGTCTTTACTGACTGTTTGGAGAGGACTGGGAAGGCCATTGCTACCTGGAAGGACAGATCTGCATGTTTTGGAAAATCATGAGGATGGGTCAGCCCAATTGGTGGAGTTACGGGCTGCTGTCATGACGTTTCAGAAATTTTCCCAGGAACCTTTCTATCTGGTCACAGACTCTGCCTATGCAGCTGACATAGCCCAGAAGTTGGGTCATTCGGTTTTGAAGGTCAGTAATCCTGCCTTGTTTCATTTTCTGAAGGCCCTGTGGAGTGCCATTCAGGCCCGGGTGCATCCGTACTACGTTCTGCATGTAAGGAGTCATACCAATTTGCCAGGGTTCATTGCAGAAGGTAACGTGAGGGCTGACAAATTGGCTAACCCAGCATGGGTTTCACCTCAGCCTGACACGCTCAAGCATGCCAAAGCATTGCATGTTTTTTTCCACCAGAATGCACATACTTTGCAGAAGCCGTTCCAGTTGATGTCAGCTGAGGCCCAATGACATTGTTGAGTCTTGTGACGACTGTCATGTGCTTGCTGCACCTTTGCTGGCAGGGGTGAGCCCCAGGGGCCTTAGGACCTTGGAGCTTTGGCAGACAGATGTCACTCAAGTTGCCGAGTTCAGTTGGCTCCGGTATGTGACATCAGCGTGGAAACTTTCTCCTCTGCAATGTGGGCTTCCGCTCACACAGGAGAAAAAACCCGCAATTTCATTGCCCACTGGAGGAAGGCTTTTGCTGTTTTAGGCATACCTTCTGCTGTGAAGACAGATAATGGTCCTGCTTACACCTCTCAGAAGGTGCGGCCCTTCCTGCAGTTGTGGGGTGTGTCACACAAGTTTGGTATCCCTCATTCTCCGACAGGTCAGACTATTGTGGAACGTGCTCATGGTACACCAACACAAGTTCTACAGAAGCAAAAATGAGGAATGCAGGGTGAAACCCTGCACAGTCAGCTGGAAAAAGCTTTGTATACCCTCAATCACCTCATGGTGCAGCTGAACTCTAATAACCCGGTCATGTTGAACCATCACCTTTCATTGTGGGCTTTGGATGAGCTGCATCAGCCTGCAGTGAAGTTTGAGTGAGGAATTTGGTCACCAAGCAGTGGAAAGGTCCTTTTGACCTTATTGCTTTGGGGTGCGGATACAAACATGTATCAACAGATACTGGGGTATGCTGGGTACCTGCAAAATGTGTTCACCCTGACCTGTGACTGCAGAGGCAGCATCTGGCTGGAGAGAGGGTTGGAGACCGTGACCAAACTGAAAGTCATCCAATGGATGGGCCATTGGATGATGACTCAGATGCAGATGATGTGAGTGATCATCCCAATGGCCCATCCACAAGCAGACACTGATACCAAACACGTTTTTATTTTTGTTTTTGTAATGGAGAAGGGGTGAGATATCACCCTGAATCTAAAAACCTTTTGATATTGTTTGGAACATAGTTTTCTCTGTTGTTTTTCTTTTGAGTGTTTAAGATATTGTTTGTTTTCTCTGTTCATTTTTCTTTTCTTTTTTTCTTTTTTAAAAGACAAAAAGGGTGAGATGTCACCCTGAGAATCAGACCTTTCGATATTGTTTTCATAATTTCTAGCCACTTTTCCAGGAAAGTAACTATAAACATAGGTGTTTATACATTCCATTAAAGATATGCCTTTTGATGCACATCTCTCACTGCCAGTGTGGTTGGGAAGGTGGTTACCTGACTATCCAATCCCTGGTCATTGTCGAAAACCTATAAATACTGAAAGAACAAATAAACTTGTTTCTTCTTCTTTCATCACACTTTGAGCTGTGTCTGTGTGAATCATTTAGTGTCCGACAGTGACACAGGGTGATGTGGAGAAACATCTTTCATCACTGATTGATTTTTTCCTGTATAATTGTACTTAACACAGAACTCTACCTTTATAGAGCCAAGAAGTTCTAATTCTTGGGGTTCAATATATGCTTCAGGAAGATAGGGAGTCCACTATTCTCATGTATTTACTGAAGTCCAAAATTTCCACACATTTGTCCCAGCAAAAGCACCTCGTATAGCCCTATCAATTTCTTCTGGAATCAGCCAAATTTCTACTGGTACACTGACTAAACAAGTTGAAAATGGATTTTCTGGAGTGGTAGTGGATAAGCATATGGTATCTAAACCTGAAGCATTAGCTAAAGTCACCCAAACATTTGTTCTAGTCTGACTAAGTTGCAAAGCTACACTACTAAAAGCAAACAAAGCAAACAAAGTAAAAAACAAACAACATTTGATTGAACTTCATGCTTAACCAAGGGTATCTTTTGGCAAAAGGTTTTTTCCTCAAACTTCAGGTTTCAAGCAAATTTTTCAGTACTTTTTTTCTTTAAAAACCTATGACTGTAAATTTCTTTTTTGTAAAACTTAAGGATGTAACACAAATTTTACCACACTTTTGGCAAAGGAATTTTAAAATATTCTTATTTTCTACATCTCTAACATTAATAAGAAACTTAAAGCTTACAGTTTTTGCAATAAAGACAAAAGATTCTAAATATGAGTTATAGTCTCTGTGTAGTTCACATCTGCGTGCTTTCTTCTTTGGTTGTAGGGTCTTTAGTAGACTTTCTCATCTTGTAAGTTTCCACATTCTTAGCAGCAATCCCTTGGGCCCTGAGCCTGTAGAAGCACAAGCAAACACTTTGGCCCATGTTATTAGAGGAAACAGACCTTCAATTTGCGCTGTTTCAGGATTTCTAATTAGAACTGGAGGATTCTCTTTTAATTTTACATGTGTGCTATTAGAAAAATGTCTAAAAATTGGAGGATCAGGCTCTGCAAAGGAACTGTTTAAGAAACTATAAACTTACAAAGTTTTACTTAATCTCATCTGTGGTGTTCCCTGCACTATATCTCCCTTTTGCTGATCTAATATATGTTTTAGAGAATGGTGTGTTCTCTCTACAGTTGCCTGACTCGTGGGAGAATAAGGAATTCCAAAAGTATGGCATACACCCCAATTCATTAAAAATGTGGGCAATTTTTGAGCTGTATATGCAGGACCATTATCTGTTTTTATTTCTTGAGATATTCCCAGTGAAGCAAATGCTTGCAAAAAATGTTGACATGCATGGTTTGCTGTTTCTCCTGTGTGTACAGAAGCAAAAACTGCATTTGAGAAAGTATCCACTGACGGATATTTTTATATTTCCCAAGGGACGGATATTTGGTAATATCCGTTTGCCATAATTGCAAGCTTTGCAACCCTCATGGATTGACCGCTCCTGTAGGAACAGGAGGTTGCATGAACTGACAATCTGGGCATGTATTTATGATTGCTTTAGCCTGATCTCTAGAAAGATGAAACATTCACATGAGTGCTCGTGCATTTTGATGAAAAAAAGCATGACTTAATTTTGCCTGCTGAAAAATATTTGGCAGGATACTTGCAATAGCTACTGTCAATTTGTCTGCCCTTGAATTGTCTTCCATAAATCTTTTATATCATCAGACAATACAGGTTCCCATCGGGAGTTTTTACCACCCCCCCCCCTTCCATATCTAACCACCAAAGCTAACAATGGTTTATGAGCCAAGTTAAGATCTCCGTCTTTAATTACTTTACAACATACGGCATTCCAATCTGTCAAAGAGCATTGTAAATCATTCTTTATGGGATCCCTTACTTTGGAAACAGAGAAAGAATTCCCCATATCAGCTAAAGGAAGTGGGTTTAAATCTTGAAGATTGAAATCATATTTGTCCTCTGATGTAGAACACTCATTTAGGTCTTGAATATTGGCTCCTGAGTTAAAACTCCCAAGCTTAAACCCTCAGTATTAATTTTGTTTTCTGTCGCTTTTGGGCTAGTTCCCCTCACCTTCTTCCTGGCAGGGCTCCTCCCCATTCTCCAGACAGGCCTCTCCCTCCTTTTTGGGTGCAGTATTGCAAGTGGTCAAAGGTGGCGTCTGGGCAGTAGACAACCCCAGAGTTTCTAAAGATGACCTTGGCTGTGGTGCAGCAGAAATGTGATAAGGGGGTCAGTAGAGGGTTACTAAGAATTTCAATTATCATTCAACATGTAGGAAGTAGACAAGCTGCAAGTTTGTCCCTCTTAGTAGCCGGGTCAAAAAGCTGAATTCCCACCATATGCCCCAGCAATTTTCTGAAAGCGGAATCTAATATAGATTCAGGAAAATTTTTATGTACCCAGAGCAAAAAAATCTTTAAGCTCTTGCTTTGGGACTGAACAAGAAGGCAATTTTATCGAAGTATTAAAGCTAATATAAACATCCCACTCTTGCTATGAAATTTCAAGACCCATCCTAAGTTCCCCAGTCTTCACCTGACTCGTCCAGGCCAGGGATGAAAATAAGCACCCCTGCTGTCCTCATTGAGTGAGAGACTGC